GCTGTGAGAACTACACTGCTCTTCATCAAGCTTGTAGGACAGGCCTGTCCTCCTTTCCTTTTTTTTTTTCTTTTTTTCTCTTCCTTTCCTTCTTCCCTTCCCCTCCCTCCCTCCCTCCTTCCCGATTCTTTCCTTCCTCCCTCCCCTCTCTTCCCTTCCCTTCCTTCCTTCCTCACTAGAGCACGACTTTTTGTTATTCCAATTCGATTTTATCTTCTTAGATACAATCCACCCTTTTAGACTCCTTGTGGTTATCATCACTGTGCCTTCAACCATATCAGCTTCTATCCCTGTGGTCTCTCCCACACACCTTTAACATTCTCAAATGAGCATTTCTAACTAACCTAAGTGTACGGAGTCCAAAGCATAACCCTGTGGGGTGGCTCTCGGTGAATAAATGCAGCCCCTACCTTCAGGGACCTTATGGGCCAATTCTAATAGAGATCACCTCCAGTACATTTGACATCAAGGTACATTTTGGACAAGGCAGTTCAATCCATGAAAAGTATAGCCACCTATACCAGTCAGACTGTAACATATTTCATCTTAGTCAAAGAGATTTCAAGAGAGGCTGTGTCAAGGCATGGCTAAGACTCCCGGACTGCCTGCCAGTATTTCCCTGATCGCCCCCCATCAGGGGAGGGACCTTCCCTGACTATGAAAGGTGAGATGAAGGGGGCAACCTAGTTATGGCTCTATTGTGTGTACCCTCCTAGCATAATGTTATAACTAGAACCCTAAAGACAGACCCAAACAAACAAAAATTAGTTTACTTATAACCCAAGTTTAAATAAAACTTGGACATCTCTCAACCACATTTACTATAGAATGACCCTGCTACCCACAGTTCAAGTGCTAACCCTGCTACCTAAGAATGGGATCTTATTTGGAAATAAGGTTTCTGAGGATGCTACCATGTGAAGGTGAAGTCATACTGGACTAGGGTGGGCCCTAATCCGGATGGTGGTGGTGTCTACAACAAGGGGAAAAGTGAGGAACAGGGACAGACGCAGATGGAAGAAGGTCACGGGAAGATGGGGGCAGAGACAGGAGCAGGTGTCACCCCAAGCCACAGCACGCCGGAGACCACCAGAACCTTGGAAGAGGCAGGAAGGACCCGTCCCTAGAGACTTTAGAGGAATCTTAGTTCTGCCCAGACCTTAATTTTGGACTGTTAGCCTCCAAATATGTGAGACAATAAATTTCTGTTGTTTTTAGTGACCCAATTTGTGGTACTTTGTTATGGCAGCCCTAAGAAACTAATACAACATGTAAGCAAAAATACTGAAGTTTAAAGTCATGCCTGTTTTTCAGAATCAAGAGCACATGGGAATGTAGCCAGGCGTTGTGGCGGGTGCCTGTAGTCCCAGCTACTTGGGAGGCTGAGGCAAGAGAATTGCTTAAGCCCAAGAGCTTGAGGTTGCTGTGAGCTGTGACACCACAGTACTCTACTGAGGGCGACATAGTGAGACTCTGTCACAAAAAAAATTAAATAAATAAAAGAAAGAGCGCGTGGGAATGGGTTGGTAAAAAGAACAAGAAGGATCTTAGAAAAGTCAGTGGAGAGGATAAGAGATACCAAGAGCCCAGAGCAGGTAGCAGGCATAGCAGGGTGAACCTTCAGTTCAGGTCTCAGTGGGAGAGTGGGCAAAGAACCAGTCAAGCAGTTTGGGGGCAATGGCTTTGGAGCTGAGAGGTCAACAAAAGGTGGCATGGAATTCGCTGTCCTGTGAGGTAGGCATTTCTCAACAAAATTCTGTCCCTTTTTAATGGCAACAAATCACAGATTCGTCAGTTTGTCAATGACATATAAGCAAAAGCCATGTTGAGCTTCCTGTCTCCAACTTGGCATTTTCCTTGACTATTTTTTGCCATTCTAAATTAGACAGCACGCTGTGCAGGGGAAGGCTCTGTGGCCTCTGTCTGTCTATTTATGGAGCTCCAGCCACCATTTCCAAGGTGCTAAGGCTCCGCTGATTGATCACAACGTCGCTAAAACAGTTGCATTCTGATCCAAAACAAGGAAGGCATATTTTTCCACACGTGCAAACTTGGGGGAAGAGGAAAGCACCCTCATGTGTTCTTATATTGATCTGGCTCCAATGTGGCCCCATAAAATACACGTCTGTAATGGCAAAACTCCTCCCTGGAAGGACCTTAAGAGGCATCCCCCAGAGCTTTCCCAGCAGTAATTAGAGGGATATATTATTGCTAATCCTGAACCCACTGAGAGCTGAGTTAATTTCAAAAGATAAAATAAAAGTGCTGCCTTGCGGCAAAAGGCCACTTCTTGGCGCCATTTAATCAAGCACAACCCTGCACAGGGTCGAAGTATTAATTCTAGAAAAGTCTGTACCCCTGCTGACACCCCTTTTAAGGAAACTACTATGGAGCAGGCCAAATGAAGCCTCGAGGTGCCAATACCATTTAGTAAGTACAGATAAGCTGGGCTACATCATGCTCAGAGCACTTAAAAATGATTCAACTGTTAATACGTTAGCACAGGAACAGGCTGTACGAGCAACAGAAAATTGCAGTTGTCAAAGTGTGAATTCAGTCTCAGGGTAAGTTCATCCAAGGAAGTAAAATCTCAATTTAGATTCTTTTTCTACCCAACCCCCCCTTCCCTATCCACGGGCTTCTTTTAGAATGGGGGAGGACGTCGTTACTCAGCAAATGCATTTCACACCAAGAAATGGTTATATTCATCAAGGGAGGAGAGGATGTGAAGTTCTCACCAAAGTAGCTTGAAGTGGTCTTTCTCAAGGCCTAACCACAACAGATGGGTACCATGTCCTTGGGCACAGCATCCTGGGGAGGGCGGGCGGGTGTGTGTGTGTGGTGTGTGCTCATGCTGGCATGCACATCTCTGCATATCTGCACGCATTCTTTTCAATGAGAAAAGATTCTAAGGGGAAAGTTATGAGATTTGGGGCATTTTTCTGTTGTGTTTATGGGCTAGTACCCTGGAATCCTGGGCCCACGAAGAGCACATTGTGCGTGGGGGAGGGAAAGCCCAGCCTGGGGCTCTTCAAGTTTAGACAGATGGGAGACACAGCCTCAAGTCTACCTTGGGGTTAGAAACCCTCGGGGTTAGAGACCTGAGGGCTTAGGAACCAATTCTGTCTGCTGACTTGAAACTGAGCTGTATTCCAGTTGTAGTAGGACAGGCTGCTTCTGTAACAAAGGAACAAATGGACTTTCACTTCAGAATGCATCTGGTCCCTCATATCATTCTATCGCAAGCAGCTAATTTCTTTACATTGAATGTCAAGGTAATTTATTCTTCTCCAAATGGTGCTGTCAGCTCTTCTGCCTAACTCTGACCACTCACCTGTTCTACCCAATGGCAAAGCTGTCTTATCATTAAAAGGGGGTGGAGTGGGAGAGGACCCTCCCTCTGGGGGACACTATGCTTGAGGTATATTTATATAAATCTTTGCCCCAAAGGGCTTGTCTATCAGAGATAAAGATAGAAAGCATAGAGAAAATTTAGGAGAAAATAAATGCCAAACCACTCTTCCAGTTGGGTTCCTTGAACCAAAATAAATCTCTTTAAATGATACATCTATCTATATTTTCATTGGGCACTTGAAGTTTGGGGGGTTTTTTTTTGTGTGTGTGTTGTTGTTTTGAGACAGGGTCTCACTCTGTTGTCCTGGGTAGAGTACAGTGGCATCATCATAGTTTACAGCAACCTTAAACTCTCAGGCTCAAGAGATGCTCTTGTCTCAGCCTCCTGAGTACCTGGGACTACAGGCGCGAGCCACAACTCCCATCTAGTTTTTCTATTTTTAGTAGGGACAGGGTCTTACTCTTGCTTGGGCTGGTTTTGAACTCTTGAGCTCAAGCAATCCTCCTCCCACCTCCGCCTCCCAGAGTGCTAGGATTACAGGTGTGAGCCACCACGACTGGCAAGACATGTCAATTTTTCCTGATAAAGGGACAATTTTTTATATTCTTATGCCTTCCTACACACTCTAAGTCATTTTAAATATGAAAAAATTGTAGTACTCTTAAATGCACTTAACTGATAATATGTAGGCATGCACATAATATGTAGGAAAAGTGACGTGTGTGCGCGTGCACCTGCAGCGTCAGGGGTAGACCACCACCCTAGTCACACCACAGCTTACGCTATTATCATTAGTGTTCAATGCTGCCCTTCTAATTTTCCAAAAGTTCACTAATTTCTATATTTCTGCACTCATCTCAACAAAAAACATTCATTATTACTTCAAAAAGCATTTCCAATGAGACAGAATTTGACTTGTCAATAAATATTTATATTTCTCCAAATAAATTAGAAGATTATCAAGAAGGATCTCTTTGGTGCAATAATCTTAACCTGTGATATAGTGTTAAGATTCTCAGATAATGTATAGTGCCAAAAAAAAAATCATTCTGTAAGTCCCACCCTTCATATTCATTTCCTAAGACATGTCTTTCCCTCTTTATAAATGTATCCTTTGTCAATTACAGAGGATAACATTTAGTCTCTGAATGAAGGAAAATTGTGTACCCTTAGGGATGTGAATGACTTGCAAACTCTGAAGTATTTAAAGGAAAAAGGGATATGAAACCATTTTCCTGGTTAGGAATTAAATGAGCCCACATAAAAGTTGAAACTAGACACATACCCAATAATTTTATGATTACAAATCTTTCAGCAATAAATTTTGAGAAAAATATATAATTTAAAATGTAGACATCTGTACCACAGTTTTCTATAAAACATCAATTTAGTTATTAAGTGGTTATAAATTAGCCCTCAGTAATGTATTCCTCTGAATGATTTAACCTTTTGAATGATCATTTCATCTGTTTTCTATATTTAAAAAAAATCAAAGAAATTCAAGATATGGAAAAGACATGCTGGGTGAGGATCTGAAACTGATTTGGCAGCTTTGGAGTTGACATAATCTTGGCCTGGTGCAGCTCATTTTGGAAAGCTGCCTCAAATTTCCCCTGGTTTTGAACTTTTTTTTTTTTTTCCTTACCACTTTCATCTAGCAAGAAATCATCCTGGTAACGGAACTTCTCCGGTCCACATGCAATAAAAATGTCATCATCACCAAAAAAGTCCTGAAGGCACATCACCTACAAGAGAAAAGCATGGCACTCAGCAAGGGGTGGCACAACAGCAATTACAACAATGCCCCCCCAGCAGACGTCTGCACGAAGCCACCTCCTGCCTAATCGCCTCATGGAATCAACAGGGCAAGCTTCTCCAGAGGAATTTCAAAAGAGGGGTTCAAGCATCTGTTACTAGTAAGAAATATGTTCTGTTTCAGTTCTGCCGGAAGATGGGATAAGGAAAATAGAACCGGCAACTGTCACATTTATTACTTGACATATCAATAGGCTCTGCGATAAGAACCCTTTGTTTCCATAACAGAGTGGATGCCGGACACCGGGGGAGGAGGTCCCCTGCATTCTTCTCAATGTAACACCCCTGATAACAACAGAAGTGAGCCCATGATTTCAACAGCAAATACGTTCTTCAGTAATTGATACCATTGTATGTCCACAATAATCACTGGAGAAAAATATTTCTTTCTTTTCTTTCTTTCTTTCTTTTTTTTTTTTTTTTGAGACAGCAGAGTCTCACTCACTCTGTCGTCACCCTGGGTAGAGTGCTGTAGTATCACAGCTCACAGCAACCTCAAACTCTTGGGCTCAAGAGATCCTCTTGCCTCAGCCTTCTGAGTAGCTGGGGCTACAGGCATCCACCACAACGCTGGGCTAGTTTTAGAGACAGTGTCTTGCTCTTGTTCAGGCTGGTCTCAAACTCCTGAGCTTAAGCAATCTTCCCAACTGGACTTCCCAGAGTGCCAGGATTACAGGTCTGAGCCACTGGGCCTGGTCTGAGAAAAATATTTCTGTCATAATATGAACATAAAATCTCTTTGAGACCTACTCTACCTCTAGCTATAAAAAGAATAGAATTCTTTAATAAAGAAATAATGAAGAAATTAAGTTACTCCTGAAGCTTAGATCTGGGGATTATGGTATGCATGCCTACCTGTCCAAGCTACGCTTGACTCTAAAACTCCCAGGCCACCCACCCTCTTGTTGTTCTGCAAAAGGAAAGTTTGAAAGCTAAAACTTTTGATTCAACATATTTTCCAATGAGAACTGTAGAAGAGCTAAATGTCATTTTGCAAGTAAATGTGGTTAATAGGAATAAATTTTCAAGTACATTGCTCTCTGTCTTTGGATAACCTGTGTTCTACTATTTTGTTCATAATACGTATAACACCAACACTGGAAACACTGCTGATTTCTATCTATTTTCAATTTCCAATGACCACTTGGGTATCACAAGGTGACCGGTTGAAGGCATCCATTCAGGGCTGTATATAGACTTTTTCATAGCATTTCCCCAGGATATCTGTGCAGGCGTCCTCAAACTATGGCCTGTGGGCCACATGCAGCCTGCCTAGGACATTTATCTGGCCTGCCGGGTGTTTTTGCCACTGCTGCCTGTCCTGCTTAGCAGCTGACTTGTCCCAGCGCCCACAGTCCGGCCCTCCAACGGTCTGAGGGACAGTGAACTGGCCCCCTGTTTAAAAAGTTTGAGGACCCCTGTTCTAGAGTGAGATTCTTTTGGCCAGTGCTAATAATAGCTCCTCTCTTATTTTCTGCCCCTTTGCCTGTGTGCATCTCTGGAGTTCTGCTCTCTCGACAGTCTCTAGTAGCGTCACCCTGGCACATCACAAGTGCTGTGGACTTGAGAGGAATAAGCGGGGAGAAGGCAGCATCATTTCCAGTCCCCAAATGCAACGATGTGTGAGCTTCAGATGGTCTTTGCCAGACATCTCTCATCTCCAAATAATCGCTTGGCTGAAGTTTTAAAAATGAAATTTCTATAACTGTTTGATAATCAACATTAAGCATGAATAAGGTATATCTATGGTTGTCAGGGCTTATTTTACCTGTGAAAGCTTGAAAACACAGGTGATTTAAGAGGAACATTGTCCTCACTGAGAAAGATGAACCAAAGGGCTTCAAGAGTATGTGAAGCTCTAATCTCCTTGGTTTAAAAACAGGCTCTTTAAAATCAGAATCCACTTTGTGTCACCCTTCTGTCTCTCTCTGACTCCATCCTGACTCTGCTTCTCTTTACCTCTGTAGTAGTCAAGCTGCTTCTATCTGAATGGTGTCATCCCAGCCAACCCTACACGGCCATTTCATTTTAAATGTCTTTGCTGGATGTCTCCTATGTGCCAGTTAGCAAACAGCAAGATGAAGAAGATAGGATCTCTCCCTTGGCAATAACGTGAACAATTAACTCCAAAGAGTATTTATTTCCTACAGTGTGGATGGTCAATAGGTTTTATGCAAAGGAGGGTTCTGGCCAAATAGAGTTAGGAAATATTGAGTTTATCCAATGCAAACAGGTTCCTTTGTTTCCAAACTTCTCAAAACCCTTAATGTGCTAATGCACAACAGGACTCCAAAGAACAAATAGAAAAATCTGGCATTTCCCAAATTTACTTGATTCCCCAGTGTTCTACTGAGTTTTCCTTGGAAGTGCCCTGATGGCCATCTATAAGTGAGATCTCTCTGGGAACACACGGAGGGAAGAGTTACCCACACTCCTCTTGGACAGCCACATTTCTGTAGCTGGTTAAGTATTTACTTGCTAATTTATTTACTCACTCAAACATTTATGATGGAACTACTCTTTGCCAGCCTCTAGGCCAAATATTATGACGACAAATCTCTGACAGATGAAAAATATTGGGGGTTTTCGTGAAGGATATGGTCTTTTTTTTTTCTTTCTGGATAGTCCCATCATTCTCATTTGAGAACATCAGATGCTCACCAGATCACACTTATCTGTTTGTGTGTGTTTTTATGCTCACGCCACCTGGATGTAAGCACTCCAAATTGTATTAAAAAATAAACACATTGTACCCCACATATGAATAAATGTATTCATGATCTATGTGTATATGACTTAATAAAAGGAAAGAAAAATAGCACAACCTATTATGAGCAGGTTGCCAGCCACCTCTCTTCCATCATTTTCCTGATAACCATTCTGACTTGAGGAACAGAGCAAACAACTATCCATCTTGGACAGTTTAGGTATAATACTCTTGGCCAGAGGGAAGTGACACATGATGAACTTCTGATGTTCTTTCCAACACCCAGGATTTCAAGAATATAAAAGGAACATGGGGATTGTTAAGGAAAAGTTAACTGTCATCACCCAGCACAAAAAATCAGGGGAAAGTTATTTCACTACCCAGCATAATGTAATTATTTCTCTCTCAATCCTCAGTGACTGAAATCAAAGAATTTGTTGAACTGTCAGAAACTTTGCTATCTTCTGTGCTTTCTGCTCTCCCTCTTTTCATCACTTTCCTCCTCACAACCTCCTACTGGAGAAAGTAGGTAAAGCTTAGTAGATCTAGTTCACATGTACAAAACTGCTCCTTGTAAGAAGTCTAGGTGAAAGAGTTGACAGTAAAGGAGCCTTAAACACAAGGTTACAATCAAGATGGATTTGGGCTACAAAGGGAGAAGTATCAGAATGACTACAGATCTCAGCCGAAACATTTAAAGCCAGAAGAAGATGGTCATTGACCTTCAATCTCCTAAAACAAAACAATTTTCAGCCCAAGATCCTGTATCCAGCTAAACTGAGTTTCATTGGTGATAGAGATATCAAATACTTTAATGACATAGACATGTTGAAGAAATTTGCCATAACTAAACCAGCTCTCCAAGATATTCTTAGACCCACCCTCCATAATGACCAGCTCAATGCTCTCCCTCCAAAGTAAATTCACCCAGAAATTTTTGAACAAAACCCAACTTGCACAGTAGTGAAGGGATTAAAAATGTCCACTGGACATCTGAAAATCATGACATCTGAAGCACAACCAGGCGTATCAATTCTCTCAATTAATAAGAATGGTTTAAATTGTCCTCTAAAGAGGCACAGGATGGCTAACTGGATACATGAACTGAGACTGGATATCTGCTGTATACAAGAATCTCACCTTACCTTAAAGGATAAAAATAGACTCAGGGTGAAGGGATGGACTTATATAATACAGGCAAATAGACACCAGAAAAAAGCAGGGGTTGCAATGTTAGTAGCAGATACAATTGGCTTTAAACCAACAAAGATAAAGAAAGATAAGGAAGGTTACTACATACTTGTCAAGGGAAATACCCAATATGAAGAGATTTCAATAATGAACATTTATGCACCCTACCAGAATGCTCCTCAATTCATAAAGCAGACCCTAACAGATATGAATAACTTGATGTCTTCCTGCACTATAATAGTTGGAGATTTTAACACCCCTTTGACAGTTTCCTCCAAGAAGAAACTAAACAAAAAAATATTAAACTTAAACCTGACCCTAGAACAAATGGACTTTACAGACCTCTATAGAATATTTCACCCTAATAAAACTGAATATACATTCTTCTAATCAGTCTGTGGGTCATCCTCCAAAATAGATCATATCCTAGGACCCAAGTCTAACCTCAGCAAATTTAAAAGTGTAGAAATTATTCCTTGTATCCTCTCAGACTACCATGGAATAAAAGTTGAATTCAACAGCAACAGGAATCTTCATACTCAAACAAAGTCATGGAAACTAAATAATCTTAGGCTGAGTGATAGCTGGGTCAAAGACAAGACTAAGAAGAAAATTACTAAATTTTGGGAACAAAATGATAATGAAGATGCAAATTATCAAAACCT